AAATCACCTGGTAAGAAATCTCAGGAACTTAAATCTTCCAGAGATCCTCCTAACAGACATAAACACACTTCTCTGGGGTAATCATGATCTCACTTTTGAACAAAACAGTAAAACCTTTACCTATGTATGTAAGTACATTAAGGATACAAACCGCTTCTAGTTATCTTAATTATAACAATTATATCATGTTCGAAGAATATTTTTTCTTTATCTGTGTGAAAACCTCGGTTAATTCTCTATGAGTAGGTCGGGATACAGAGAAACAGTCGTCAACAACCTATTTTGTTAATTCAACTTAAATTAAAATAAAATAAATTGAAATGTACATGTTAAGACAGCTATGATGTATGTAAAGTGTATTTAACCTAGGAGAGGGCTTAATTAAGTTGTTAGAACTTGTGCCCAATCCTTTTTGTCATTTTTAACGCAATAAAAATATGTTTAAAAAAAACCCAAAAGACTAAATATCAGACATTTACATGACACATTTGTTTCGCTTATCCAAAATAGATAAAGCCTGTCGACCCAAAAATAAGTGAATCTAAGGTTTGATTGTCACATAGCTGAGAATTAAAATGTATAATTCATACATTAAATATAAATAATAATAAAATAAAATACAGATCGTATTTATTGACAATGTCGTTCGTATTAACCGTACTGAACTTAACAACCACTTGAATCTCAACCGCTTTTCGTGATATTTACCTACTATGTGATCAACAGGAAAAGCTTACTACTCAGTGGTACGATAAGCATACAAGTATTGATTTTCAAACCGTGTACTAATTACCATTTCTCTATAGTAACATCCCTGATTCCCTAACATGTCGTAGTCGACTGGGGATTCAAAATTTTGCTTTTTGTATTATGATTTTGATGAAAGATGTCCACTGCTTACTTTCAAACTTATAACACAGGGTTTCCAATGATACAGGTTGATGAAGATTGTAAGTAAGGTTTATTTGTGGTCTCAATCATGATCGTATTGTGAAATTCGCAATTTTTTATGTGATATGAAGGTCAATGCTTTTTGTAATGCTCATTAATGTGTTATGTGTTTTTTTGTTTGGGGTCAATACCCCGGTTCCTGTTATGAGAACGTGACATTACTTGGATCTGACACTGACCAGATTTACATTGAAGGTGTTGTCGATTAAGAAGAAGACGCTTACCTTCTCAAAACACCTGGTCTTATTCTCCGTGTGCAATATTAATGATATCTATGTTAATAATTCCGTAGTTCATGCTTTGTTCTAAGTCATATAGATTTTGAGTTCGAATTACGTTTTGTTGATTTGTGAATGAAAAGAAAAACACAGATATATGTTTGTTGAAAAATTGTCCCATTAATTCAATGTCTTATTGGTCATACGGTGAGGATTTGTTTGTTGTTGTTTGTTTGTTTGTTTGTTTGTTTGGTATTAATTTTGTTCGTTGGTTGTTTCAATCAAGCATCATATTTTATGAAGAGAAACATTAAACAAAAAAATGGCAGATATGTTTTGGAATGATAGCATAAACACAACACATCTATAGGTACTCCTGAATGGCTTCAAAGGCCCCAGTGATATTTGAACTCTATCAGAAATAAGAGGCTATCGTGTACCAGTGTCCCTTACTACATTGTATGTTTCCCTCTGTACGATAGCCTTACGATGTATTTATGATCTATTCTAACCATGGGTCACACTAGGAACCACGACCGGCAGTCACTGATATCCTCCCTACTTGACGACATGTTGTGTGTACATGCACGTGTTCATCATCAATATTTATTGCTGTTTAAATCGGTGGTAACCGGTAATTACAGCCTGAGAGGATCACACCTGAGGAGGACACTAAGGCGACGTGACACAGGTAAGTTGGTACGTTTTATCTTATAATTATATAATTTTAAATCAAAATACGGTTATGTTATATCCAAATATTACAAGGAACTTATTGTTATTGTAGATAGTTTGCTCAAGATAACTTTTGTTCTTCTGACAGGAGGATTTTCAATCATTCAATTATAACGACTTACAAGGTTGCGGAGATAGAATTAAAGGTTGTGTATTTAAGATATTATTGATATGACTTTGTCTGGTATCAATGTTCCTACTTCAATACAAATGGAAATAATAAAAAATCGTCCAGATGTATAATTATTGTTCACAGCTAAAGTTTTAGATAAGGAAAACCGAACATGTTATATTGGAATAGACAGGAGACGTTATATTTTTGTTTGTTTAGAATGTTCATTTCAAATTATTCCAATAATAGGGAAACTTTAAAACATCATTGCGAAATTTTGATTTTTGCAACACCAAACTGTATAATTATTTTATGAATTAGATATATATTTATATATATATGTAAATATAGATAGAACGTTCTGTTCATTAAAAAGAGAAAAAATACGGACATGGATGTTTTATGTTGAATATCTACATTAAATTGAATACAAAACTTGTTGTGTTTTGATACCAAGAGTATGTGGAAATGAATATTTTTCAAGAGTAATATACAATACATTTACGTGCTTTGGAAGTTTGTCCTCCTTGAATGCGCCTCTAACACAGTCTCTAGTGTAACATCCAGGTAAATGCTATGTTAAATCAAAAGTCGGAAAACACTGTCTACATCTTTACATCTGAAGAACAGCGATGAATGTGCTAATTTTATAATGTAATTTATATACAATATATATATATCAATTATATATATCAAATATATACTTCTATACCTCTAGAGAACGATATACTGAAACGTTATTTATGTAAAGATTTATATTGGTGCTAAAAAAATGTTGTATATTAATCATTATAATTATCATCTCATTGGTACTGTTTCGATCAAACTCTCTTCTGAAGCGGTCTCTTGGAGAATGATATTAAGAGAGTTACTAAACATGGCATGCCTGTTATATAAAATTATGTCACCACCAAAATAACTAAAGAAAGACGGGCGATGTTAGTGTTGAGATAATTTAGAGCCGTAGACTAAATAATGCTGATGGAAGGCATTTGATAATTTAGTGCAGGACACGTAAACACAGACACTGGTGTATTATTAAAAGGCACCAGTTTTTATTTCGAGTCAGTACTATTTTAAGGTGTATTTTCAGTAAATGATTTGTTTTTTAAGTTAAAAGCTACTGTTGATAGATTTATTTGACCAGTAGTTTAGATGAAATTAAAAAAACCCAATAAAACAACACTTTCAAAAGTGGACTATTTCTCTTCCCAAGGGTCCCGAGTAGCACATAATTGATTGGATTAAGGACAGGGGATATCCTATTAAGAAACAACAAGCCAAACAAACTGCAAAGACTGTGAAATATGTCCAATCTAATATGCACTTGATTTTAGGTATGAATTTTCTTGTCGGCCTAAACAGGTTACAATGGATGACAATGGGTGACAATGGGTATGACAATTACATCACATTATATATTATTGCAACAATTTGATAAAAGAAAAAAGTGCACATTCTTAAAAACTGTAGAATATTACATTTATTCAGGCAAAAAAAGAAAGGTTTTAAATATAAGCCATTGATCGCTAACTGTCTTAATGTCTTCGAAAATAAGACTGCCCTGAAAATAGACCGGCTTCGAGATTAAGCCCTGTAGTTCTTACTGAAAATAAAATAAGGCGCAGCTTATTATCTCGATTTTAATATATGTATCACAGAATCTATCCTTCTAGACACCATAAGTAGATCACATCAATTTATTTTATTACTTCGTTTTCTTCCTAACTGTTCCCAAGATCGCTTTAATTTAATTCATTTAGTTCACCTTTCTTAATGTTAGTCATCAAATTCAAGTCAGGCAAAAATGTAAAGATAAAGACAAAAACTTCATCCCATGAAATGCCTTTCCTTGCATAATGAGGACATATAAGTATTCAGTTGAAAGCACGTGTTTCGTGATATTATCATATAGATGTACACTTGAAAATGTTTGTGATAGACAACCAAGTTAATACTCAAAGCCACACGTACGACGCAAAACAGATTGGTTACACACTGAAATTTTAGATAAGGGTTAGTTGCGGTCAATCTCGGAGACTAAATTACTTTATAGCATATGCTGTATGGTCAACATTGTATGATAAATCGTTAACTGTTTTAACCAGTTGTGTAAATGCAATACTGTAGGAGTAAAACGAAGATGTGTTTCATACCCATGTTTTTGTAATCAAAGGCAGGTCACATTTCTTTTCAATTCCGGCTTATTTTCAAGACCGGCTTATTCTTGAGATTTGATTGACTGCAAGGAATCCTAGGCTTATTTTCAAACGAGCCTTATTTTCAAATCAAGATTTTAAAGTATTAGTGTAAAGTAAAAGATTATCACAATACGCTGTTGTATAAGATTATATTGATATCACAATTAAGAGGTTAATGGTATCAGTGTATGCGGAATATGTGTAGCGGTATCACAATATTATGTGTATATTGGTTAAGGCAGACTGTGTTAAATATACCACGAACTATGCAAAACTACGACTCAATTGAGGTCGGATATTTTGTAGGATCTGCTTAACATTTGAAACTTCTTGAAGACATTACAGGTTAAATTAGATTTGCACTCATATAGAAAATCAGAGTACTGTAATATTTAAAGAAGCAAGGTATTGGAATTTATTTTAAAAAAAACAATTTTTTATTTCAAATATAAACTTATTTTATTGGGAAAAAACCTCTTAATTGCTGTACAAAATGAATGCTTAGTATTGGTTATAGCTAATTATTATTATTGGATTTGACCTAATCAAAAATGTATTTGATTGTAACTTTTAAAAGTTTTTTGTCCCTCCGATAAACATGTATATAAAAGTGATCACGATGTTACCAGGGGAGATGTATTCCCATGGCTTGTCGTACTAGTAGGGACGTGAGCGCCCATTATTTACGGCTGTTACAGAGTATGGCTATGGTAGGCTGTAAACATGTCACATACACTTGGTGTCAGCCAGTTTAGTAATACTTGGGACTTTTAGTGCTACTCGTCTAGATTCGCGATTGCAATGTAGATACATACAATTCATAAGAGGATACTTAAAAAGAAATAATAGGATATGATCTATATTTAATATAGTGAGTTTATCATTAAGGATGATCTTCTACACTATGTCATATATCATTTATTGAAGGATAAGATTTCCTCCTCTGAACCAAACGAATTATTCCACGTCTTAGATTGAGAATGGATTGCCACTTAACGCAAAGTCATCAATACAGATATAACGTGAAAAAATATCGCATAATCATATATCACAGCAAGATTACCTTGGCGTACTTCTTAGTGTCTGAATACTAAAAGATTGATTTATAATATCTTTATAAGTTGCGGGCACCTGTTCTTGTTCTCCTTGACATTCTTCAAGGGTCTCCTTATTAGTTCTTCCCTTGTTCATATTTTCTTCTAGTTTATCGATTACTTCTTGCTGATACTTCGGTAATCTCTTGCTGTTGTTTCTTTAGCAGTATGGAGTCCGGAAAGATGATAACAAAGATTGAAGCTGTGAATCCAGAAAATGATCTGCAGAACGCTGTAAGTTGAAATCTAAACTTTCAGAAGACGTAACATTGTATTATCTGGTTCATCATTCTAAAAAGAATAACAACGTGATATTTTAACCACTATGTCCAACAATGGAACCATGTGGAAGACACATTTAATAACTTGACTGTAACGTTGACGTATTCTGCGCTTGACAAACGATCTAGGTTTAATTGATAACCAAGTACACCATATTGATATATTTTCAAATTTTCAAAAGAGAAAAAAATAGTAATGCGGATTTCAAGAACTTGAATGATCTTTTGATACAACTTAAATATCTAATTATTTAAATGGTTCTAATCGCATCACAAGCTAAATAAACCGAAGATTTAATAACGTTTCGATATCTTACTATAGTTAATGCGTATTTTAAGAAAATTACGAGAATGGTAAAAATAAAAATAAAAATAGTGTGAAATCGTGAGAATGATTGAATTTTTAGCTGACAATATTTTTTAAATGGGAAACACTATTTCCTAGAAGACTGTTGTCATACAGATGGGGAAAAATGTGTTCCTCTCCTACTTGCCGACTTCGGCTTGTTTTCATAAAAGAATGAACTTATCAAAAGCATATCCAGATAGGTAGCAAAGACCTTGCCAAATCTTTTACTTTCACTTTCAGATAGGTATAGACTACGTTAATCATATACCTTCCTGAAGGTCGTGAACATTCCCTTTCTTTAAAGTCCCAATCCTACACCCCTTCCCGTGGTGTTAACTTGCCGCTGTTGATTCGATATTCAATGGTTGCTCTGAATATTACGATTTCCGAATGGTGACAAAGAAACTATGTTTAAGTTGATAACTAATGATGACTAAAGACACGCTTAAAGGTCGATACCATAATCTCTTTTGGACATATTCTATTTCCTTACACAGTATAAATGGCGAATCTTTTGATAATTTTATTGGTTCGTCTTTTGGTTTCGTTGTGACAGCCATGATTTTTTCACGACAAAAACTTGTTAAGACATAAATTTACATGGTGGATATCCTTCTTGAACACCTGGTCTTATTTTCCTGGTAATTTTGTAAAGGTCTCCGTGTAAATCTTTCCTTTTTTCTTACTGTGTGTATAGTTTCATTGAATTAGTGTCCGAGTTTCTTTCTGTTTAGGTCTGAGCTCTTGTTGTTTCTTTGTATACCTTCTGCGTATCACAAAGCTTCTGTGGATTTCAACTCTCCAATACCTACCATTGGTTTCATCACTACCATAATTATAAAATGGTTCATCAGTCACGTTCCTTCTACAGATATCAGCACTTACACTACTGCTATAGTTTGTATCTCTCTCGTTTCTGTCTTAAGTTTCGTCACTCTGGTACGGTTGGCAATTGCATGTTTATCAGCACCGGCAATGTATTTGTTATTGCTGACGACATTTTGAAAACGTACTAATATACTCGACATTTATATTAGTTGCGTATGTAGTCAGTGTATTCATAAAACACATATTTTATTACAGAAACTGGTTACATCAACGTCAATACATATATGTATCACATGTACGTGGAACATTATGACCATCAGTTCCTGTCTGACCAGTTTAATTATATTTGTTACCTTCGCATGTAACGTTTATCTTTCACCAATTTGGATTTCTAACTGTTTGATCCTAGCATCACTGATGAGTCATATAAGGACGTAACGGCTGTATGAGGCAGTTTAACTCCTTTTTTGGCATACTGTATACATTATCAAATTGTGATTGGTGGAGGCACGGTAGTCTAGTGGAAGGACCCCGGGCTTGTGACCGAAGGGTTGCGTGTTCGAGTCACGGCACGGCACTGTGATGTATCTTTGAACAAGATACTTTACTCCGCTTGTTTCAGTCTACTCAGCTGTAAATGAGTACTTAGTTGGGCAGTGCTAGAATTGTTGGATGCTAGCTGTTAGCGCCGAAATGGCAGCTCCGGCTGTATGCTCCCCAGGGAGTTGAGAAAGGTATTGGCTGGTTCAAAGGCCCTATAACCACGGGTAATAGTTTGTGAACCGCTTTGAGACAACTAGGTTGTGCTAAAGCGGTATATAAGAACCTCGAGTTATTATTATCATCATTATAGTTGCGTTCATCTTACAATTTTTTCTTTCAACAAATGTCACATTGTCCACGCAAATCTCATTAACAATATAATGTGAAACATTAATGACATTAATATTATAATAATGGGGTGGATGTACTGCTGTTAAATAATTTGAGTAGACGCTCCGATAGACTTTAATTGTCGCCAAAGGTTTTTTGAATTTTAGATCTTTACAAAATATTCTGGAATAAAAATGAATATGGTATTAAAGATGTCAATTAATACTTTGCCTCAATGTCAGTCGATATCTTTGCCAAAGAACATGTGTCATTAAACAACACGTCCTAATCTCTCGGCAGGCCCGACATAATTGGACGGAGCTAGTGGTTGAGGAGCCCAAAGTGATGGATCGCGGGAACTGGGGCGGTAAACTAGAGTTCATCCTAACGTGTGTAGGGTACGCCGTGGGACTTGGCAACGTCTGGAGGTTTCCATACCTCGCCTACAAAAATGGCGGCGGTATGTACTCGTTGGTGCTAGGCAACACATAATTCTACTTTTTATATACTAAAATACCTTTGTGAAATAAAACTTCTTAACCTATATTTAATTTGTGTGGATGTATAGACCAGTTAAGTTTACCTGCTGCGGAATTGTCTTAATGCGAAATTTAACGTTATTGGCGGCATACCATGATTTGAGATATAATATAGTTTGACACCATTGGCCTATACCTTTAGGATATTCCAACCTACAGACCGGTAGTTAAAATTAAAAAAAAGAGGTTTTAGTTCAAATATTTCATGGTTTATTACGTTTACGGTTAGAATTTTTTAAAAAGTAAAAGAAATTGAAATAGATAAACAAAATAAAACATTACAAAAGAGGCAATGCAAAGAAATATTTTTACATGGGCGTGTTTCTCGTTTCCTGTTACCTGTAAGATATCTTAGAAGTGAAACAAGATTGTGTCTCGTTTACTGTCACATGTAAGATATGTTATAGTTTAAAAAAGAGAGTAGGTAATTGTTTTTGCGATTAACAAAGTCTGCTCTTATCTTTCCAAACTTTTATCCACGGTAACATTTTTTTCCTCCTACAGACTCTTCCCTATGCCACCCTTCTGGTGTTACAGGTGCCTTCCTCATACCCTACTGGTTTATGCAGATCTTCGTGGGAATGCCTCTTTTCTACATGGAATTGTGTTTCGGACAATTTGCCAGTCTTGGGCCTCTGGCTATATGGAAAATCAACCCGTTGTTCAAAGGTATACAATGTGTGATCAGTGTTAACAGTATGTCAAGTGCCTCACTAACAGACCAGCATCAGTTCAGGTTTAACTGATTCAGATGCCTTACAATTAACTGCAAGAAAAGCAAATTTAATGAAATGCTATCTATCTTAAAATATTCAAAATATATTCATGCTTTGTCCTGATTTCTCAATCTTTTCTTCATGCAGATGAATGCTTGTATCATATCTTTGACCTTCTACCTATGGGATAGGACTATGATACTACTCGGAAACATACTCAATTGTATGTCCTTAATGGACCTGCTTGGTAATATAATATATTCTTTTTACATTATAGGACTGGGGTACTGCTCGGTGATCTGCTCTGCTCTGATTGGTCTATACTACAACGTCATCATCGGCTACTGCATCTACTACTTCTTCGCGTCTATGACGGACCCGTTACCATGGGCACTGGGTGATGACATCAACTCTGGATCTAACATTACCAATTTAACTATGACCACAGGTACGTATAAACTGCCTTATGTATATGTGTTAGATTTAATTATCATAATAGCAAGAAACGCTACCTTGCTATTATGTATCACCATTTCAAAATGTTCCTAGTCAATTCAATATGGAAATCTGGCGTATAATATGTTAGGTATCATTTTTTCTAAAGTCATATCTTGTTAACATAAGCTGTGTCTCCAATAACAGAAAAACACAATCATTATTGTGAAGTACTAACTTTCTTACGTGAGCCCTATAACTACTGTTGGGGATAAGATTTTTGTTATATATTAATGATATTTGTGAAAATTTAATTTCTTTTGTCAAGAATGTTTGCTGACGACACTTCACTCGCATATTCTTCAAATAATAGTGCAGAAATTGAATATTACATGAAACATGATTTAGCAGTTATTGATCAATGGTCGAAGAAATGGAATGTAAATTTTAATCCTAATAAAACATACGTAGTTGTTTTTACTGGTTCTTTAGAAAGACTTGATGTTCAGTTGATTTTTAATAACACAACATTGACAAAAAGTGTTACACACACACACTTAGGGGTAACTTTAAATGAAAATGGCAAGTGGGAAACACATATCTTGCATATTGCCAGATCAGCCTCTAAACATTTGTCTGTTTTACGAAAATTGAAATTTACTGTGAATAAAGAAATTTTATCAAAATTATACATTGTATTCATCAGACCTATTTTAGAATATGCGAGTGGAGTGTGGGATGGTTGTAACAATGCAGATTCTGATAAAATAGAACAAGTCCAACTGGAAGCAGACAGAATAGTTACAGGGTTGCCTTTATTTGCTAGTAGACAGTCTTTGTATAGTAAAACTGGCTGGGAAAAACTTGAAGACAGACGGAAACAAACAAAAAAGTTATTATTATACAAAATGCACCATAATTTAGTTCCTTCTTAGCTAAACGACATCGTACCCAATAAAGTAAATGACATTAGCAGATATAATTTAAGAAATGGTGAAGATTATGTATTACCCAAGTGTCGACTAGTTTTGTATGAAAAATCGTTTATCCCCAGTACCCTGAGAATGTGGAATTCATTAGATATTTCAACCAGAACTCTAGCAACAGTGTCAAAATTGAAAAATAGCATTTTTAGAAAAAACAAACCTGTAACTAAACTGTCTGTAGGTAACAGAAAAAATTGATATAATACATACTTACCTCCGTCACGTCTGTAGCGCGTTGAATGCAGATCTTTTCAAGTGTAATTTAGTCTTATTACCAGCATGTAACTGTTCTTTTTCAATAGAGAACCACTTTCATTATTTTTTTCAGTGTAATATATACAACCAGTGTCGGGATATACTTTTCAGACAATTGTCTAGATATGATATAGTCATTGATCTAGATGTACTGTTGAACGGTTCTATTAATCTGTACCAGACTGATAATGATAATATACGATTGTTTGTACAAGAATATATCAAAAACACGAATCGTTTTGCATAATCTGCTTCAGTATCAAATAATAAAGACAAATCATCATTATTAGTCAAATGAAATGTTAAGTAAAAAAATGCGGTTTACATGCAGAAACTGGTTCCAACATTCAGTTGTATCTATTCACTATGCTTTATTATACATGTACATACTTTAATTGTTAGGTATGACTTTCATACTATATCTATGCCATTTTAAGTGAAATTCCTTGAACTAGTACTGATATGGGAAATGCATATTTCCATCTGTATCCATTAATGTAAAGTTTTATAAATATGTATGTATGATATGTATATCAACTGTTCATGAAATGCTGCCATATATGTGTGTTACCATTGTATAATAGTTTATGGAAGAGGACGTTTCTAAGTTGTTTAACTTGTGTCCAATTCCATTTGAATTTTTTCAAATAAAATATGTTTAATCTAAAAAAAGATCGCCGAAAATCTATCTTTTCCATCGAGTTGAGTTAGCCTTTGTAATATGACCCAAGTTTGGTTCCCCCTTTTCATTGTTTTCAAACCCCTAAGTGGCGCGAAGCGCCGCCGGAATGTGACATGTGAACACTTTGTCCACTTCCGGTGCTTCTCCATGCGTGAAATCCTTCTGGGAAATTAAGGCCGCATACTGTCTCTAAAAATATGATAGTAAACCCTACAGTATCCGTATTTATTACAGTTTACTAATGAAATATCACGAATTCTCCATTTGATAAAAACACATATTCAATGCAGTGAAGATATAACAAATATTATATCTTCACATGTGAAGACGTCACTCTTAGTATGGTCCAAACTGAACGGTAAGCTTATATTCTATTCTCTACGTAGATTTTCAGTTTCAAGTTTAGATGAAGTGACGGCAGAATAGGTGGTTGTGTGGTCCACCTATGCAGCATACATTATTAGTTTTACAAACCTGGGGCGTGTCCTGAAAAAAATGTAAGAAGTAGAACATTTCATGGTTTTGCCGTTCAATACGAATTATTTCATTTGTATAAAACGGATTTGTGATAGCAACCAATTCACCAGCGTTGTGGCAAAAAGTGTCTTCGTAACAGTCTGGAGAAGCAATTACGATTGACGCTTTAACCAAGAAGCCGATTGATATTTTATTCAGAAGTACATTGTCAAAAGAAATATTTCTATAAATCCCTGCTTCTCTTTCTTAGAAGATAACGCTAATACCTAATCTTTGATAATTAAACGTGCGTTCAAAAATGTACATTTGCGTGCTGTGGGACATTGAGAGACATTAGTACAAAATGTAAGGATATTGAGCGTGAACGGAATATTCTGAACGACAACATTAAGGCAATCAACAACTTATAAAATAATTATAAGTAAATAAATTAGGTAGGCAGGATCCGTTCCCTCGAGGTTGTTGGAATATCAGTAAGTCATTTTCATAAAAAGATTTGGTGTTCAGCACCTCTGCTGCATTTTCTTGTCGTGTCTTGGTGCTTTTTCAGGTTTTCTGAAAATCTTTTAAGTCCAGACGTACAGCAAACGACATTCAATAAGTTTATACTAGTACACGTAATGAGAGTTGAGAAAAGTACGTACTTCTTACTTCGTTCGATGTTGATAAAAATAGCTATAATAATATACTTTTCGCACTTGTTTTCATAAAAGAGGTAACTCAATTTCTACAAGGGGGATAAGAACGCGGCAATAAACACGTCCCTATAAAATTGGTTGGATGATGCTGTATGCTCGGTTTGTACGAGATCTTTGTTTGAAATAATATTTGATCATGTACCTTACACTCTGACGCTGATATTTTGCCAAGTTCCAAAATATCAAGTTTCTAACAAGTGACATTTGCCTCAGTACAACTTCTACTAGTCATTTGGGGAAATATACATTCTTTAAAAGCCCTTCCCAGATTAAGAACTTATATCTTTAAGCCTTAGTTGGTCTATAAAACGCGTACTCGAAGCACTTGTGTATATGGATGACCTGTCAGTTCGTCTGTCCGTCTGTCTCTCTTTTGCTGTTTCATATTTCAATAAAATCGTCTTCCTATTTTATTTGCCTCCCCAATGAGAACAATGTGACGATAAGATGTTCGCATAATATGTTAGTTAAATAATCACCACGATGGCTTTATACCTGCGATTCTGTCCCCGTTGCAGAAGTGTTAGACATAAAATAAACTGTTTTGAAAGTTCAAACCAATAAAATTTTACTAAGGAACATTTATGTCGTGACTTGTCGGATGTAATGGGTATCACAGGTTTATTCACAAGGGAATGTCTTTCTGGAAGTCATCTGTGGAAAAAATTATGAACGGTAGATGAGGGGCGAACGTGGTGAACGGAAAGGGATGACATACACGGACGAGGCATACATGTGCCCGTGGGGAGAACATTCAGGGTTACTAAGAGGTTAAGATTACTTTTATTTACCTAGGTAACAAAAAGGGGCATTGAGAGGTTACGCGAGGAACTGAGGGTATAGGAGATGGTGTACCCGGGTTTCTAAGAGAACAATGGTGTCACTGTTGGGACGGCGTGTGTTTTACACGGTTGACTAAGGGGACGTAAGGTGCTTAACACGTGTTACTATGTGGACGACATGTGGTGTAAATGGTTTATTAAGGGGACAGGAAATGGTGAACATAGATAACTATAGGGACGTAAAGTAAGCGCTGAACCCGGGTTATTATGGCGACGGCAGGTTGTGTACACGGATTACTAAGGAACGGGAAGTGGTGAACACATGTTATTTTAGGGACGTAAGGACGTACGTGCTGAACCTGTGTTACCATGGGGATGGCAGGTTGTGTACACGGGTTATTAAGGGGACGGCATATTGTTTACAATGGTTACTAAGGGAACAGTCTATTATGTACAGATGTTATCATTTAGACGAAAGGTACTATATATGGGTTTCTGTGAGGACGGGAGAGATTGTACACGGATTACTAGGGAAACGGCGGGTGGTATACAGTTGTTACTAAGGGGACGAATGGTGCTGTACGCGTATAACCAATATTGGGAAGGCAAGTTACGCAAACAGGGAACTAACAGGGCGACAGCTGGTGTGTGCAAGAGTAGCTAAGGGGATGGCAGATTGGTGAACATGAGTAATTAAGAGGATGGCAAGTTGTGTACCCAGGGGACGAATGGCGGTTTACAGAGGTTATATAGGGGACAGGTTTTTATGACCTAAGTGTGTCTAACTTTTACGGCGTATTTTTGTATTACAGGAGGGAACACAAGTAACACATCCACAGTGCTGCTGGAGAAATCGGAGAGTGAGAAATACTTTTAGTGAGTTTAAAGGCTTGTTAGAAACATTTCTGAACACCAACTCCCCCAAAATGTACCGCTCAACGTTCAGTTAAGTAACAAAACAATTCTCCAGACAAGATTACACGCAATATCGTTTAAGGCATGGTACTCTAGTGGTAGGACGGCGGGCTCGTGACCGAAGGGTTGCGTGGTCGAGTCACGACACGGCACTGTGTTGTACCTTCGAGCAAGATACTTTACTCCGCTTGTTCCAGTCTACTCAGCTGTAAATGAGAACGTGGTTGGGCAGTGCTAGAATTGTTTAATGCTAGCTGTAAGCGCCGAAATGGCAGCCCCGGCTGTATAATCCCCAGGGAGTTGAGAAAGGTATTGGCTGGTTGCAAAGGCCCTATAACCACGGTTAATAAATTGTGAACCGCTTTGAGAGACGACCTACGAACTAGGTTGTGATAAAGCGGTATATAAGAACCTCGAACTAATTATTATTAATAAGATCATTGGGAATGGCTCTTGAGAACATCGACGGGCATGATCCTGCAGTAGTACGACTCCACGTATATGATGCAATAAACAGTACCACATTGAAAAAGACATGATATTTTACTAATGAAAACAACGTGTGTGTCACAGTTTATATTCGTTCTGAGATAAGTAACTGGCACATGTTTTTGTTTTCAATTACAAACCCTTTTAAAGGATAGGGCCTACGTGTAGGGGTATTGCGAGGGAAAACGGTCTATATATAGAAATTGTTACTTTACCCCGTTTACCTTTATATGTTCAACGGAAGATATTGTTTTAAAAGTAAGCATACAATTTTGTAATTGCCATCTTTGTGTAGCTTTGTTTAAGCATACTTCGGGCTTAGATTGGAGGGGTGTTAGCTATGTTTCTGTGTCACGTGCTTTAATTCATTCAGTTTGATGGAGTGAACATTGCAAAGAATCAATAATTATGATAATGACAACACACAGATACGTCTATAAAAATATCCTACTGTAAGACCGTTTTCTGAATAATAAACCAGGCATGATGTTGTGTGGCCAGGTTATGACATTTCATACTTTCAGTTGACATTGAGTAGCTCTATTTACGTGATATTGGTATGTATGATATGATATTAGCTCATATGACCCTGGCTTTTGTGAGGTCGTTAAACCTTAAATATACAAGCAAATGACATGAGCAAACAAACACGAACACATTTTAAGAAACCGGAAGTGGATTAACAAACAGTTATAAAGAGAACACTTGTCTCTAACATGGAATACACACTAATTAGACATGTCAAATTCATTAACTCATATATCTCCTTAAGATCGCCCACGTGCCTATAATCTTTTATCCTCAGTGGGACGGTGCTTAATATGTCTACCGGTCTGGAGGACATTGGTGGCGTCCAATGGCAGCTCGCTCTCTGTCTCTTAGCGGCCTGGGTCATCGTCCTCATCGTCCTGTCCAAGGGTATCCAGTCGCTAGGCAAGGTAAGCTGTCACTCATTCCACATTGGTAAGTATTATAGACAACAGAAGCTGGCGTTGTTGGTGAATGGTAAGCCTCTTAATGACATTCAGTTAAGTATAGCTATCTTGCTGCAGACGACGTCTATAAGGTCGGCAATAAAGAAATAAACTTGTCTGGTGCGTTTCGTTTGTATGACATTCTTATATTATTCTTTAAAAAGTGCTGATCTGTCTTTCCGATCAGGTTGTTTACTTCACGGCGACATTTCCGTACCTCCTCCTGACGGCCTTGTTGATCCGTGGAGCCACACTGCCCGGGGCTAGTGATGGCATCCGATACTATCTTACTCCATCGTGGGAGAGGCTTCAGGATTCTACGGTTGGTAAACACACAACACTTTCTTATAAAATCAACTTTATAACATTCGATTGGGTTCGTATTTAGTTGCATATGCAGAATTTGATCGTAACTGAATGTTGTTTTTCAGGTTTGGAGCGATGCGGCCACCCAAGTATTCTACTCTCTGAGTGCGTGTTCCGGTGGACTTATTTTAATGTCCAGCTTCAATAAGTTTGACAACTTCTGTCTCAGGCAAGTGTCAGATTGGATAGTTTACTGGTAACTATAAAGAAAAACCTGTAAGAGTCGCCTTCTCTTTATTATCCCCCTAGATTTCTCTGTCGTATCTCGGTAGAAGACATAGGCCTGGTACTGATATCCTGCAACGGTGATACTTAATCAAAACAGAATCCGAATATGACTCATAGTCGCGTTTCCACTTATCCCTTTCATTGCTTTGAAACAGAGAGAATCGATGGTGTTACAAATAAAAAAAGTCATTTTTTTTAAAAATTAGTTTATTATATTCAGTTTTATTCTTGTTACATCCAAATATTGCCAATAGGCTTGGCTGCGGGTAATTAGCCGCATAGAATGAAAGTCTGTACCACCTGGGACCAATTGCAGTCGCATTTCGTCAACCGCATACCAATAATTTATTGGAATCTGACACAGTGCTGGCAACTAGACTCTACTCTCACCAGACATACGCGAACAGCATCAAAATGTTGCTTTTTGAAAAACTTTTGCTAGAATGGCATTTCTGGGACCATCGATAGAATGGCATATGTGCGAGTCTCGTTAGAATGGGATAATTGCGAGTCTTGATAGAATGGCATATCTTGGACAATCGATAGAATGGCATAATGTGAGTTTTACTAGAATGGCACATCTGTGAGTCTCGTTAGAATGACATATCTGTGAGTCTCGCCAGAATTGGATATTTGCTTGTCTCACTAGATTGGGATATCTGTGTGTCATGGTAGAACGGCCTATTGGGAAAACTCGCTATAATGGGTTTTTTTCTAACACGTGCCATGATGTGATTTCTGGGACACGGGATTATTAAATGCCGTCACTCACAGGGTGTTAACATGGCGTTCAGTAGTTTTTTAGGAACTCTCTGGTTGGTTTGTCGTACTTGTATGTTGGGGGATTGGCCTTAGGGTCGTACCCAAACTTCTTCAGTGCAGGGGCTATTCTGTCCATATCCCGTCTAACGTTGTCGGGGAGATGGTCTACCCACTTGGCTAGAGATGCGGTGTTAATAGGCTCCTGCAGCTGTGCAGTCTTCTTCTCACTATCAGTACAGAGAGTAATTCGTTATGAGTTCATGCTATAACCATGGAGACAGTGTTGAGTACCATCATCTACACTTTGTTTTAAATCTAGTTTTACTTCTACTTTCAAATTATAGCTTTAGGATATAGTTTTAATTATCATCAACAAGAAAATCTCTTTAAAAAAGGTAATGATACTGTTAGTACTTTATTGTAAATATATAGATGTACTTACTTGGACGAAAAGTGCACCTGATTGTTTCTCACATAAAACGAATGCTGGAGGACAGCATTGTTCCACAGTACGTTAATGAAGTTAAGGATGATCCTCATCCACTCCTCAGGAAACTGCACGAACTCTTCGTACCTGATCACCATACACCTATCGCGGCCCACGTGCTGGCATTGGGCATTTATGTAGTTAGCGCCATTATTCCAGCGCTTCAGGCAGTCCCGGACATCACTGTTGTTGTATCCGGTGATGGTCAAGCCCCTCATTATTAAAGAATGACATACAGCGCGACCGTCGCGCACCATCATGATCAGCTTAGAGTTTGGAAATATCCTGGATAGGTAGTCAGCATCTTTGAGCGCTAAAGGGTCCTTGTTACACAGACGAGCGGCCGGTTCACCACTCCCTTTGATGATCTCGGCGATGAACGATGCCATGGCCGCGTCGATCACGTCACGTGTCACTCCTGCCCTGTCAAGATTCAGTTTTTCTTCCACTGGTTTTTCCCATTTTTCCCAACGCATCCCAAGTATATACGGAATGATCCGAGTCTCTTCTCCACACCGGATATCCGGATGTACATCCATCATGACTCTAAGCAAGGTAGTGCCACTTCCTGGCATCCCTCCAATGAAGATAAGAGGGAGGTTTGCATCCCCCGGGGCCCGAGTCTCTCCTCCCCGGGGTCCGCGATCGTGTACGTCGCTGTCTAGATCATGTCTGTCATGGGTGTACAGCATGTAAAACAGGACCAACAGAACGACGGCCATAAAGGCCTTGTTCCTCGTGTGTTGTCTCATCGCTACTGCCGGACGCTACCACACTGTCATGCGTCGTCCATCGTCATCACTACCCGTCCACCGAGCTCAGTTTGAGGGTAGTAAAAATACCATGATGAACTGGCAACAACTGAATACTTCATGCGAGTCTTACCTGGTTGTGAAATGTTATCAACTCATTTCGTTAACTTATGCATTACGCTGTAAACCTTCAACCTGAGAGCATTGTGTAGCCTGAAGCATATGCCACGTGCTCAAGTGTTGACCATTTGTGAACGACAACCCAACCTATATGGCTCATTTAGGCTAATGAAATAAAATATCGCCAAAGGCTCGCTATGTTGACAAGTCCATCTCAAACCATTGTGATTATTTCTTATCTGATCTAAGTTATTCATATATCTTTATAGCTGATTTCACGTCGATTGTCGGCAATGTTCCAATCAAAGAAGTTGAGATGCTTTCATAAATACTACGAATCAAAAATGCCTGAAAAGCTTAAAGCCATCGTTGTCTTCGACTTGGTCTGATATAGGCTACTGCTGTTAGTCTATCATTTACCATGCTCTTCGTGCTGGTCTTCGATGATGGTTGTATATTAACGTACTGAAAGATTCTTACGAGAACCTTTCATTTTCAAACTGTACCTATTCCATACCACACATATAATTTGCACTACGGTGGATAGATAAATCTCTTTGAGATAGGATTTTAAAGTGTATTACCGCCCGATACCGTTTCTTCGGATACGTAGGTGCCCTACTGTTCGTGTGTTATTGAGCTAAATGTTCTTATAATACACAACATGAAAACATGACAATAAAACTTTAAAATACCGAAAATCAGCGCGGGACCAACTTATAAATGAATGACATGCATTATGCGTGTACCAAGCCAAACTTGGCTTTGTTCACTTGCGTTACCTTTCTAACGGGATTCGACATTTTATTGTTGGACAAAGGAAACTGTACTGATAAAGTCGTTAGTTGTCGCCTGGTCAATACAGCCCGTCGATTTCTGGTCCGTCCTTGTTTAGTCCGAATTTTTCTGACGTTTTATCGACTTTTTTCATATCGGTCTGTCGTCGATTAACGTCAGAACTCCGGCCCTCTATAATATGCGGGACATATGCGACCCGCGCCCGGAGCGCACTTCAAACTGATATTTTAGAAACTAATTGCTATAAATAACATGTTTCAAAGATCATTACGAAAAGTATTTTCAAACGTTTTCTATACCAACCCATGTTTTTAATGGAAATTAGGTCATCAGCAATGTCACATGACTTGACGAGATCTCGAAGGTATTTCCCAACGTTATGACGTAGGCCGGCGAGATTTTAGACACGTGGCATTAGAAGGCGCGGCTATCAAAAAACTAGAGTAAAACAGAGTAAGTTTGAAAAAATATGTTTTTATTGGTTGTATTGGTTGTTTGAGGCATGCAATTTATGTTCATCTTGTGCATAAAGAATAGATCTTTCGATCCATGTGCGACATGTGTTTGAAAGTGACGATTTGTTTCTAAAATATCGGTTTGAAGTGCGCTCCGGGCGCGGGTCGCATATTTCCCACATATTATAGAGGGCCGGAGTTCTGACGTTAATCGACGACAGACCGATATGAAAAAAGTCGATAAAACGTCAGAAAAATTCGGACTAAACAAGGTCCTTTCGGTTACTCCTACATGTATATGGCTGGGACATTGTCTGTTGATTTCGTTACTGTAGTAACAGATAAGTCGGCTTTGTTACTATAGAAACAGGTGATGTTTTGACTTTGTAACTATAATAATATAATTGACATCGTTTTTGTAGCAACATATGATGAGGTCTATAGTATATAGTTAACACCGTTACAATAGTAAAATATAGTGTAAAGTTGTTACTATGGTAACAGATGAGTTGCGTTTTACAAATGTACATCGATAAACATTGTTTCTTTAGTAACAGTTGACGTTTACATTGTTACTTTAGTTATTATTGAGGAGGTATGAAAAGCAAAACCAAAATTATAAACAAGAAAATAACATGACGAACAATGTATGTCACGTGCTCTATTGTAATACAGAGACGCCTTGATTGTGCCGTGTGTAGACTGTCTCACCAGCTTCTTCTCCGGATTTGTCATCTTCACCGTGCTGGGTTTCATGGCGAAAGCGAAAGGGGTCAAGATCGAGGATGTAGCGACGGGAGGTAACTCTAGAGTAAACATAATAGAATATCCTATGGACAAAAAGAAAATAGTACAATGTATTTAAAGTTGTTAAATTATGTATTAACGACGACTGTTTTCGTTATATATTCGGTATGTATGATCTATTCATGACCAGTTTTCCACTATATGGTCGGTTACAGGTAGCGGCCTGGCCTTTGTTGTGTACCCAGAAGCCATTGCCAACATGCCGGCACCGACCGTATGGGCCGTCCTTTTCTTTTTCATGCTGCTCGTCATCGGCTTTAGCTCACAGGTGATTTACCCTACACATCGGATCTCCGTTTACGAAATAATTCCCAAGTTGTATCCAGTTATTCCGTTGTCAGAATAATGTTGTCGATTTAGTCGTTATCATGTACCGTGTCCCGGAAATGACCCGGTGATAGCCCAAACATCAATTGTCGTCATATGACCTACCAAACAATGAACAACAAACAAAAGCCGACTAATAATATCGTTGACACAATGAACTCCTCTCCGTTGTGACCGTGTAGTAAAGATAGTGTAGCACGTACAAAGGATGATAACTCCCACTAACCGATTGTTGTACCAGGTTTTACTGTTAGATTTGTCGAAAATTGTAGGTTTTATGCAGGTGACATGGGTTCACCTAAACAACGTATACCATATTTGAAATATACTGTAAGCCTCATGTTACTTTTACTGGTATTTAGAACAGTTAGACGCCGGGTGATTTATAGCTGTGACCGTTTTCAGTTTTCTATCATGGAATGTGTGATGTCCTCCTTCATTGACGAGTATCCGCATGTCCTTCGAAAGAACTGGAGAAACTCCTTCCTGTTCCGGATGGGCGTGGCTGCGTTTTTCTATTTAATGGCATTGCCGATGACAACACGGGTAGGTATCATAGTACATTATATCCGAACGAGATAAAAAAAAAAAAAAAAAATTACGAAACCGATGAAGATTTCTTTTATGAGTATTTCTTTTGTATTAAGAGATGATGCAATATTTCCAAAATTTGTTTGGATATTGCTTTATGTGCCATGTTAATATTTTGCCCGTGATAAATGACTGTGTATACACTACAGGGTGGTCTGTACCTGCTGGAACTGATCGACTCGGCGGTGAGTGGCTTCCCCTTACTGTTCGTTGGTCTTTTGGAATGTATTGTCATCAACTGGATATATGGTAAAAGGCTAACGTCATGCTTATTAACTTGAAAGTTTAAGTTGAAATAATATCAGTATAAGGTCAATTATAGCAATTGTTTTCTCCCACAACCACTGTAGGTTTCCTCTCTCATGACTCATTGGATAAACCTGCCAGAACTGGACATGGTTTCATTGGTCAATCTTTGATTTATGACGTCACGTAACAATGCTTTTCGACGTCATTTTCCATTGTGACGTCATGCTCCACGGCCATTGTTTCCCCCATCGGAAAACAACATGAATTGTTTTCCAATGGGAAAATGTGGGTTTTCAGACAAAATACGAACGTTATGGGATAAACAGGTCCCCAAACTCGTGATGATTAGTTTTCGTTAGTTAATTTTCAAATTGTAAAAGACACTCGGTTATTCAAGTGACTTTATACAATTTGAAGATTAACATGATGACCAATTACCACTCGTTGGGAAACCTCTATATCTACACTGGGCGGGCGAGAAATAAAAATCATTTTCCAGAGAAATCCCACCCATAGCTCAACTATCCGTATGCCCCATTTAGCACGAACCGCCAAAAACAGCATGTTGGTACTATCTTGTATCGTCACATGACGATGCATAAGCAATCGGAATTCTTTTTCAAAATAAAGCTGTTTTTTTAATTTTATTTGCCACAGGTTATTCTAAATTTGCAAAGGACATACAGATGATGATGAAACGGACACCTTGGTCTTATTGGGCCTACTGTTGGTGTGGGAAAACTCCTCTCGTCCTGTCGGTAGGTGTTCACTTATTGTATGTGGTAAAAACCATCTCGTCCTGTCGGTAGGTGTTCACTTATTGTATGTGGTAAAAGTCATCTCGTCCTGTCGGTATGTGTTTACTGGTTGTATGTGGTAAAAACCATCTCGTCCTGTCTGTACATGTAGGTGTTCACTTATTGTAAGTGGCAAAACCCATCTCGTCCTGTCGGTAGGTGGTCACTTATTGTGTGTGGTAAAAACCATCTCGTCCTGTCGGTATGTGTTTACTGATTGTATGTGGTAAAAACTATCTCGTCCTGTCGGTACATGTAGGTGTTAACTTATTGTAAGTGGTAAAACCCATCTCGTCCTGTCGGTATGTGTTTCCTGATTGTATGTGGTAAAAACCATCTCATCCTGTCGGTAGGTGTTCACTTATTGTGTGTGGTAAAAACCATCTCGTCCTGTCGGTATGTGTTTCCTGATTGTATGTGGTAAAAACCATCTCATCCTGTCGGTAGGTGTTCACTTATTGTATGTGGTAAAAGTCATCTCGTCCTGTCGGTATGTGTTTACTGGTTGTATGTGGTAAAAACCATCTCGTCCTGTCGGTAGATGTTCACTTATTGTATGAGGTAAAAACCATCTCGTCCTGTCGGTAGGTGTTCACTTATTGTATCTTCTTTTATTTAATTTGCAAGAGGCAACAATGCCTTTGTGCTTTACACACATTTAAACATGACAATGACATAATTACAATAATAAATACATATTTACCTGAATTTTATAGCAGCAAAATAACACACATTTACAAGGAACATATTCATTCACAATAGTAAGCATGAACACAGGATGCAATAGACTTAAACAAAAAATTAATTCGAAGCGAAGGATGCAAGGAATTAATTTGATTTACACATTAAACAAAATTCCATGTCTGATTTCATTTGCTTTGTAAATAAACATAGCTGAATTTCTAATAATAAAATTGTTTTCTGAAGGAACAAGTTCAACAAATCTGTCCATATTTGGTCTACAGTAATGTTTTTTTTCAAAAAATTTGATCTAATTTCAGAGTATAACGGGCATTCCATAACAAAATGATATTCATCTTCAATTTTAGTACACACACTACAATATCGCATTTGTGCAGGTATTGGGTTAGGTCTATGCCATCTCCCTGTTTCTATATTTAATCTATGGGCAGATATGCGAAGCGTTGTTAAAGATTTTCTAAATAATTTAACGTTTACCATAACAAGATATTTCTTATAACCAAACTCATTTGATAAACGTATATAACATATTGCTCTTGGCGAGTGCACCAAGAGCGCTATGCCAATCCTGTATAAAAATATCCCTCACTGGTCTGAAATAATTCTAAAAATACTTTTTCATCTCCAACTCCTTGTTCAGTACATAATACATTTTTTCACTAACTTTGCCCAATTTATCACACGTGACGTTTCCGCTCGTGTATAAAGCTCACCATAGACTGACTGGACTAAAACGTTCTTCTGTTAATGAACAATTTTTAACCAATATTTCATAATTTTAACGTATCTTTTAAATTTAAGGGGAAGACAACCTAGTTCTCCATAAACAAAATTGTTTTGCGTATGTGGTAAAACCCATCTCGTCCTGTCGGTAGATGTTCACTTATTGTATGTGGTAAAAACAATCTCGTCCTGTCGGTACATGTAGGTGTTCACTTATTGTATCTGGTAAAAACCATCTCGTCCTGTCGGTAGGTGTTCACTTATTGTATGAGGTAAAAACCATCTCGTCCTGTCGGTAGGTGTTCACTTATTGAATGAGGTAAAAACCATTTCGTCCTGTCGGTACATGTAGGTTTTCACTTATTGTATGTGGTAAAACCCATCTCGTCCTGTCGGTAGATATTCACTTATTGTATGAGGTAAAAACCATCTCGTCCTGTCGGTACATGTATGTGTTCACTTATTGTATTAGTAAAAACCAACTCGTCCTGTCGGTAGGTGTTCACTTATTGTATGTGGTAAAAACCATCTCGTCCTGTCGGTACATGTTCACTTATTGTATGTGGTAAAGACCATCTCGTCCTGTCGGTAGGTGTTCACTTATTGTATGAGGTAAAAACCATCTCGTCCTGGCTGTAGGTGTTCACTTATTGTATGTGGTAAAACCCATCTCGTCCTGTCGGTAGATGTTCACTTATTGTATGAGGTAAAAACCATCTCGTCCTGTCGTTAGGTGTTCACTTATTGTATGTGGTAAAATCCATCTCGTCCTGTCGGTAGGTGTTCACTTATCGTATGTGGTAAAAACCATCTCGTCCTGTCGGTAGATGTTCACTTATTGTTCACTCCTTGGTTACGTGTACCCGGCCTGGGGGAGATGTTGTATTACCTACAGTGCTGTTTTGTTGTAGGTGGTGATTATATTCAAGGCGGTACAGTACGAGAAGATCACACTCCTGGGGTACGTGTACCCGGCCTGGGGGGAGATGTTATGGTGGCTGGTCACTTTGTTCCCTATACTGGCTATCCCCGGCTGGTTCCTATTCTACTACTGCAAGCACGGAGGATGGCAGGTACGGATTATATTCATACGAAATTAATGTATTTAACATGTTTTCATACTGGTGGCTCTAAATACTAACACAATTTAACTGGAAATGTATTATAAGGATATCATTTTACGCAGTAACGCTATTCCTGTAACATGTTTAACCAATTACAAACATCAACACTTCTTATGCAGGTATTGAAGAAGCTGATGACACCACTTCCAGATTGGGGACCTGCTGATGACGCCAACAGAGACGGGATTCGCTACAAGAAGAAATCAGCATTGAAGATGGAAGTGTTAAACCGCACTAGCTCTCTGGGTTATAGCTCAGGAAATTACAATGACGCTTTCAAGGACGACGAGAACCTGTCACTCCCCGGCCAGAACTTCAAGTACTCGTTACCCCCGGACTATGAGGATGCCACACACATGTGAGATACGGCAACGATGTTTCGTAGTGCCAGAAAGAAAAGATAACTCTAGCCAAAACATATGAACTGTTTGTAACATTTAGAATTACAAACTTAAAATAGTCAAATATATTGTACAGACTTTATGTTCACAGCATTTAGAAAACTCGTTCGATCATTTGACGTAACTTTGATTAAATCATGTCCAGCGTTTGACTCCGTGCGGAGTAAAATCCTATCCAGCTTTTGACCAGATGAACTATAAATATCAAGACAGAAATAACCCGGACTGCGAACATTTTAATATAGACGAAACATACAAAAGTGTCTACATGTAAACCTGTAAACAAAATGCTTTAGTTCCTGAACACAAGGCTGGTATTATTTACATCAAGTCCTGACTGGCCTTTTGGACCAATTCTCCCTGTACAACCAAACTACCATGGGCGTTATCTACCCGTCTTTACATGAATTTAGCGTTAGTTATTCGTAATCTTTTGAACACGCCTTATAGAACTAGACAGACATGGATATGTACGTGTTTCGACACAATTCGCTAAAAACATTTGAAACCGGGATATTCAGCACCAAAAGACATTTGAATTGGATGTATAGAGAGATGTGCAAATAGATGATTTTCTACTGCAGTCATCAATGACTGTAACTGTTAGTGAGTATGTACATAAACAGTATTTCAATGAAAACAAAATATGTGTGATGTCATGCTATTTGAAAAAAAAAAAAAGATTCCCGCTTGGTAGAGTAGATTTTGATATTAAGATATTGAGAAAGTTAACATTTGGGAATGTTTCCCGGTCTCGTTATAACCTGCTGTACATGATTGCCTGATAGAGTTAAGTCTTGGTCACGTGCTCTACAAGATGGCCTGATAGGTATTAGATCTATTAGATCCTCGTAGATTCTGAATTTCCACACTCAGTTTGTCGTTTTCCAGTGAATATCTTTGTTTTTCGAGTTGTATTTTTTCCACGGCTACTTTGTGCAGACTCTTCATATTCTCGATCTCCAAGGCTAATTTTTCATTTTCCAGTACCAGTCGTTCCTTCTCCAGCTGAGGTAATGTCTTTATCTGGCTTACTCGGCGTTGTTCACTTGTGGAACGTAATGTCTCAAGCTCAATCATAAGCTTTTCTTTTTCCATTATAATTTTCTCCGTTTCAAGGACAAGTTTGTCTCTCTCGGTCCTTAATTTTTCACATTCTAATTTGTATTTTTGCATTTCTGCCATCATTAAATTTCTCTTGACGTCTAATAGTTCTGTGTCGGCCATACTGTAATTGGAAAAGTTTTCCATTGTATCGTCCATATTACTCTGCTTCCGCTTTTGGCCCCTGGCTGGTTCGGAAGCCGGTATAATGGCAGGCACTGTTCCCAGAGCCTCGGGTTCGTGTGCGGTATGTACGATGCCCGAACTAGTCGCGTACATGTCAAACTCCGGCTGTGACGTAGGGCTGATGAACTCCACATCGCCGTAACTCAACTGTGACCTGATGCTCTCAGGACGACTGTGGGAAGAAATGAATTATGTAGAATATCATACACAGTTGATATATATATAATTTTAAATATAAGTATTAAACCAAGATAACTTTGAGAAATGTTTCGATTTCGTATGATATTATCATATTTGTCGACAAAATAGCGTCTATTGTTAAATGTTATAGGATATAAGTGACAAACCGGATATATACGTAGTGTATACACAAATGGCAATTTTACAATTAGCTGTTTGCTCACACCTGTAGACGCATATACAAGTTGCTACATATTTATGTGTACCCGCCTGTCACTGTGGACATAAATACGGTTATAACTTGATTGTGTGTACATACGTGTGGACGTATACTCGTGTAATTACCTGTTTGTGTGTACATACGTGTGGCCGTATACTCGTGTAATTACCTGTTTGTGTGTACATATGTGTGGACGTATACTCGTGTAATTACCTGTTTGTGTGTACATACGTGTGGACGTATACTCGTGTAA